CTGGAGCCTTCTCTTCTCCACGCTGAACAAAGCCAACTGTCTCAACCTGTCTTCAGAGGAGAGGTGTTCCATCCCTCTGATCATTTTTGTGGCCTCCTCTGGACCTGCTCCAACAGGTCCATGTCTTTCCTGTGCTGAGGGTTCCAGAGCTGGATGCAGTCCTCCGAGGGGTTCTCACCAGAGCGGAGTAGAGGGGCAGAATCCCCTCCCTCGACCTGCTGGCCATGCTGCTTTGGATGCAGCCCAGGACACAGTTGGCCTTCTGGGCTGTGAGCGCACATTACTGGCTCGTGTCCAGCTTTTCATCCACCAGTACCCCCAAGTCCTTCTCAGCAGGGTTACTCTCCATCCCTTCATCCCCCAGCCTCTACTGATACTGGGGATTGTCCCAGTCCAGGTGCAGGACCCTGTACTTGGCCTTGTTGATCCTCATGAGGTTCACATGGGCCAATTCCTTGAGCTTGTCCAGGTCCCTCTGGATGGCATCCCATCCCTTAGGCGTGGCAACGGCACCACTCAGCTTGGCATCATCTGCAAATTTGCTGAGGATGCACTCGATCCCATTATGTCATTGATGATGAGATTAAAGAGTACTGGTCCCAATAAGGACCCCTGAGGGGTCACCGATCTCCATCTGGACATTGAGCCATTGACCACAACCCTCTCGATGTGAACATCCAGCCAATCCCTCATCCACTGAACAGTCCACCCATCAAATCCTTATCTCTCTAATTTAAAAGAAGGCTGTTGTGGGGGACTCTGTCAAATGCCTTGCAGAAGTCCACATACACGACATTGGTAGTTCCTCCCTTGTCCACTGATGTAGTCACTCCATCATAGAAGGCCACTAGGTTGGTCTGGCAGGCCTTGCCCTCGGTGAAGCCACGATGTCTGTCTCGAATCATCTCCCTGTCCTCCATTGCCTTAGCATAGCTTCTAGGAGGATCTGTTCCATGATCTTCCCAGGCACAGAGGTGAGGTTGGTAGTTCCCAGGGTCCTCCTTGCTACCTTTTTTAAAAATGGGTGTAATGTTACCCTTGTTCCAGTCATCAAGGACTTCACTTGACTGCCATGACTTTTCAAATATCATGGAGAGTGGCTTGGCAACTGCATCAGCCAGTTCCCTCAGGACTCTTGGATGCATCTCATCAGGTCCCATAGACTTGTATATGTTCAGGTTCCTCAGGTGACCTTGCTCCTGCAGTCTCTATATTGCAGTCCATCCACTCAAGAAGTGTGGGAAGAGACACTGCCAGTCATTGAGTACTTCAGCCTTCTCCTCATCTGTAGTTGCCAGTCTGCCAGTCTTGCTCATCGGGGGGTACACTTTCTTTGACCTTCCTTTTCTGGCTGACATACCTGTAGAAGCCCTTCTTGTTATTCTTTGCATCTCTTGCCAGGTTCAGCTCCAGCTGTGCCTTCGCCTTCCTGACCCCATCCCTACATAACCAGGCAGCATCCCTATGCTCATCCCAAGATACCTGTCCCTGCTTCCACTGTCTGTGTATTTCCTTCTTTAGTTTGACCAGCAGGTATTGACTCAGCCATGCCAGTCTCTTTGCCTTCCTTTCCTGATTTCTGACACTTGGGGATCTACCTATAGATCAAACATTCAGGTCAAGACCTTGGTGTCCATTTAAAAAAAAAAAAAAAAGCATGTATATTTTCAGTGAAGATGATTTAATTACAGTTGGAAAAAACAGAATTGTTATATTTAGATAGTTCAATTTTGATATTTGGGAGGTTCTGTATGAACTGGTATTTGTGAATCTTTGGTTATTTGGGCATTAGATGGCTCTTTAGATAGCCACTAGATTAAAAGGCTAAATAGTCATCATCACTTGTTTATTATGAGATTGAAAAAAACATTTCCCTGGCATCACTAAATTGCACAGAGTTGAGGTTTTCAAGTCCTGAATTACATCAAACTTTCACGTTACATGGAAACATTGCTACAAACTTTAACAACTTTTCCACAGTATTGTAATCATTCTTTTTGGGAGTAGATGGAAATAAATTCAGACTTGTATTCATCCCTGACCAGTCCTCAGTTGCATTGCCAGAATTGGGCCACTAAAAGCCCAGTTGTATCAGGCATGAAACACCAGGACATTGTACTGCCTTCTCTCTTGTGCCGCCTGAGGGTTGTGAGAGCAATGTCGTGCCATATAAATATCTCCCCTACTCTATATACTGTGGATGTTTATTGTTTATACAGATGTTTAATCATTTCTGAAACCCAGAGGCTGTCCTCCCATTGGGTTTAGATGGACTTCCTTCAACCAGAGTGTCCCCTACTGCTGACTTGCGCAAAGGTGAAGCCAGCCACTGCCTCTCATTGCCCTCTTACTCAGCTATTCACCTCTCCCTTTGTAACTGTTTTTGGTGTTTATATTTATTGCCTCGTTTTCTTCTGGATCTTTTTTCGGAGCTTGCTGCTTTTACATTTTGCCTGGTTTTTGGGTGTGCTCTGGAGGATGGTAGTCAGTGGGTCTCCACAGTCCCCCCCTGTATCCCATGTTCCAGAGTGTAGAAATTGTCCCAGAAATTATTAAGAGAAGAAGGGCAGGGCTATAACCGCTCAGATAAATATGTACCTGGTACTTACCAATACAAAAGCTCCATATGTTTCACACTGATACCCGACAAATCCATTTGGAGTGATAATACTCTCAGCGTAATACTGGAGACTTCTCTTATGCCCACATCCAACTGATCTATATTCTAAGAAAAAGCCCAGGTAAAAAAGATTAAAGCTATACATTAACATAAAGTCCATGCCAAAGCAAAACTTGCGGGTCTTTTTTCCTTCAAAAGCATTTGTACATATGTCTCAGATCAAAAAATAGTAATAATTAAAAGACATTTAAAGTGTGAATTGTTTTTGTAGTAAAAAGTGTACTTATGGCCATTTTTTCAATGGTTCTAATCTGCATGTTCCTGTGCTCTTGCTGAAGTTAACAGAGGTGAAGATGCACCAGGGCGGACCTCGTGCAGCCTCCTGTCCTGCTATGTGTACTTAACTGCGTTACTTCAGCATGAGAACCGAGGAGGATTTAGGAGAATTTCCTTCTGATATTTCAAAGACTGGAATAATTCATAGCTACAGCATTTATAAAGCATATAGTAGTTACTATGAAGTAGTTTTCATTTGCTTACCATTACCACAGCATGTTATTTTGTAAAACCACAGTTTCCACTCATTTCTAGAATTAAAGGTAATTATAGTTGTTATTTTAAATTCAGTGGCTTTCAGTGTTTCTGAGGCTAGAAAATCTGTGATCATTTGACAGTGGTGATTCTGTGAAATGCTCTGAAAAGCAAGATGTTTGGCAGCGTGGCCTTGATTTTGTCAGAGTTATTTGAAACAAATACATTTTTCCATCAGAGTGAAACTTCGAAGCATTCAGTGCAGGAAAGAATAAAGTGCTATTTGGGTTATATTTACAGGTCCCAGGTAACAAGTATTGTCTTCGTTACCTCTGAAGTGTCTCCTTTATCAAAGCACTAAAATTAGGTTGTATAAGAACAAGCTCTACTCTGCTTCAGCGTGTGTGTAGGCTCACCTAATCACAGGGTGAAGCCTCGCAGACACTGAAGTAATCGCAACTGGCACTTTTTATAGTGAAATCAGAATTTCACCTACTGTCAATATTTATGCATATTAAAGACAAACCAGTTGGTATTGACCAGTTCACAAACATTGCTCTTTACGTAAGGAAAGAAAAAACCACACTGAAAAGTATTTTTTGTCTGTTTTTCTTAAAGATAATCTGCATCATCAAGGCTTCCTGAGTACGTTTTCTTTGTAGTTCCTTCTTTGAATCTAATTCAGAAGGGTCTGTGCTATTAACTTTAAAAACCTCAGCTCTTATGGTTGTCTTTGTGCTAGTGCCAAATTCACTTAACATCTATACAGTGGGAACATAATACTCCTCTCCCTACTGCATCAAAAGCTGTAGAAAAGTTACTAAATAGCATTTCTAAAGCACTTCATACATAAAAGCACTACATAAATGTAAATATTATCAAACAGAAGAGATCTGCACAAAGTAAGGTTTAACTAAGAGGCAGGAGCTAAGTCTGTCTCTATTTTAGAAGCCGCATGAACAACCAACTCCATCTGCTCGTCTTCGATGGAGCTGAGCTTCTCCTTCACCACAAAACGTTGCAAACAACCTTGTGAAATGTCTCTGGAAATTTTTTTTTTTTTTCTGAAAATGCAGACAATCTTATGCAGTCTTTTGTGCAGGAAAGTGTTTTGGTTCCAAGTGACTTTGTGCACAGCCAGCTTTCAGTTCTCCTTGTTACTAAGTTCTCCAACCAGTTCTAAGACACAGCATTTAGGGAAGCCAATTACTTCACTAGTGGGAGGGATTGCAAAACATTTAGCTGTGAATAACAAATGTTCTCATTTCTGTAGGTTAGGATCAGAAGACAGGATTTTGGGGATCTATTGTACTGGATCCCAGGGTAATTGTGATTAACTGCAAAGCTTTCTTTGAAGAACATGAACTATCAACGGGGCAGTCATTTTATCATCTTCTATATTTTAAACCTTGTGCTGTTCTCTTTGAAGACACTAAAGCTGTTAATGGTGTGGATGAGTATGTCTAACCCCAGTAATATTGGGACTGATATCTTTCTAGGGAGAAGGGAAGCTCAGATTTTAAAATACTCATTTTTGGATTATCCTTGAATGAAATCTTACTGGTCCTTCATGTGTGGAATTCCCACTGAGGTCAGTTTGTCAGCACAGTGGCAGGCTCTTACAAAAGTTGTGATGAGCAAGTCTGCATGCTTTAACTGAAGTTTCCATCTGAACTTTGCCTTGGTTAGTGTAAAAGAAAATTGCAGAGTATTTCACAGGCAGCTTTAAATCTTCCATTTTTGAGCATTCTCTCCCTACTCCAAATCTGAGCTATATAGATAATATATACATCCAAAAGGCTTCACCTTAGCCTAGTCTCTATTTCTAACTGTAGTTTATAATGAGGTATTACTTCTTTAAAATCTGTTTACCTCTCATAAGGTCATTGATATTCCAAGCTGCAGGAGGTACACGAAGCTGCTTGCATCCTGGCATCTTCTTCCCACCATTTGGGTAAAAATCCAGGTGGCCACAAGTCTGAAGAATCCCTGGAGCTGCAATGCGCAATGAATCAAGGCTGATCACTCTCAGATACTCTGCGGCTAACCTCTATGTCTCCATGTTGGTGTCGGCCTTTACGTGAAAACTTACCAAAGTCAAAGAAAAGATGACCAGCGTGAGTATGAATTATATCAACAAATTTTGCATCTGAAGGATCCAGCCTAACCATTGTGGGGGTATACTGGAAAAGGGGCCCAGCTGGATCCAAACCTAAATAAATGGAGATACATCCGATTGAGTAAATAATACTATATGTATGTCATCACATACATTGTGTGTACACTGTATGTCATTACATTTCTGCCTTTACTCCACATAAAAATCGATTTTTTGGTCTGCAGCTAGCAAAACAAGCAGGGTTTTAATAGAAAGTGGCTGGAGACATTGCAGCACAGTAAAATGCTGGCGGGTGCTTGGCTTACTTTTGGGGAACAATGTTACAAGAAGAGGTTTGGGGTTTTTTTTTTTACATGTTAGTGAAAAATATGAAATCTTGATATGTTACTCCGGGCATGTAGATTTGTTTGAGAATTTTTGTTTGGTCAAAAATCTATATTTATTTCCAAAAGAGCTTGGTTGAAAATGTTACCCTTTCACTTCAGTGTCAGTGAGCTCTCTTCGGGGCTACAGCAACACAGTTCTGATCCCAGTTTCCCCTGAATTGCTTATGTGACTGCTTACTGTGTACACATCTTAGTCAAAGCAACGTCTGTGCAGGGAAGGCAACTGACTGGAGGAGAAAGGAAAGCAGAAAATAGGTGAGCCTTTAAAGAGAGTGACGTGTGAGTGTGCCATGATGCTGTGTTTCCCTGTGTAGCTATGCAACCAGCAGTTTTCTTCCTTTTCAGAGTGCCCGTGGCTATTTACTGTCTCATCCTGACGTACTAGATCTAGGGGTTTTAATTTTTCATTTCAGATTTTCAATCCTTTGAGCGGCTGAAAAGTCATGTTAGAGTGGCCTTTTAAAACCAAATACGACAGCGAGTTGCTAGTGTTTTACGAGTCAGTTATTGCGCATGTAACACCGTATTTTGTTCCTATTCTTTTATATCATTAAAAATCATATCCGTGTGCTCCCTGGGACCTGTTGTGACCTGTGGGAAGTGACCTCTCTTTAGCCACAGTTGGGACAGTTAAGGCTTTCTGATCTGTTGCAATCGAGCCTTTTTCAGAGCTGTCAACGCTGATGTGGGAAAGGCATGGCGTGTGGCAGGACACGGCTGCGTTTCTGTGCTGTCACGCCAGCTGTACGCTCTTAGTTAGGACAAATCAGCACACTGCAGTCTGTATTGTGTGTTTCTAGGGCAGCAGTGGTTCTTCAGTTCTCTGAAGTTGCATGAAAAGATAAAGCTTCATCAGTCGAAATGGCTTCAGTACCTGTTATTCTTCCAATGCCAGGTTTCCTTCTCCCTGCCTCCCCTGCGGCATGTGCTCCAAGACTATGGCCGATGAAATGAATGTTGGCAGGAGAGTAGCCATAGTCTTTCTTTGAAGGTGCATGGAAAGGAAAAAACATGCATTTTAAGCGGGGGATATGAGAGACAGGAGAGCCGCTTCTCTGTGCCGTGATTCAGCTCTTGCCGGAGGCAGCACGCGTGACCCACAGAGGGATGTTTTAACTCTTTCGGTCCTCTGTTACCACTCTTCACCCTGCCAGTTTTGCTAGATAGTCTCCCGTCTGATGTCTTATCCATTAAAAAGCCCATGATGAGCAAAACTTGTAGAAACTATGGCCTATAACCCTTTACAGACATGCTTATCTGTGGTCTGACACTGATGTAGGTATTTCCATTTGTGCAGGATTAGAGACTTTTTATGACATTTTCAGCTGTTTTGTGGAGTCCCTCTGTACTTCCTGACTGTTGCACCAAACCTAAAAGTGCTACCTTGAATGCAGCCTTTACCATAGAGACTGTGAGCCAGCTTTCACGTTCCATGGATACTTTTACCTCAAGAAGGTTCACCAGATATACCAGCTCAGCCCCCACAACGCGGACGTTGTTCACTGCTTCGGTGTACAAACCACTAGAGCCACCTCTCCAGTCGGTCAAAATGCAGTTCACGTCTTCAGTGTGAAACATAAACTGGTGGAAAACATGAAAACGGGAGAACAGAAGCAAACAGGCATGAATTACAATTGTAACAGGGTATATGCAAACGGTATTTCGTTTTGCTATAGCCGGGGATTCACTTTATTTATGTGACTGGTAAAGGCACATCCATACCAATTCCTACCAGTACTGAAGAATTAACACAAGGAGGCAGAGTGGAGGCACTGATTTGAACACTCTATGAAGACACACAGAAGCTTGCTTCAGTTTTGTTTTCCATTCCAGATGCCTTGGTTGGCTTTAGGGTATACTTCTCTTAATGACAGTGCCCCAGTTAGAAAAAGAGGATAGTATCATTTCTTTTTTATTTTCCAAGTTTTATTCTTCAAAATTTATATGCTTGGATCATCTTAAAGGATTCACAAATTTGTATTCATGTGCTTGAATTGTGCAGCCTCAAAGTTCATACATTTTAACCAAAATATTCTATTTATACACCTCTGGCAATTGAACATTCTGATTTTTCATTCTGAAACAATTTCATTTTTGAAATGTGCCTAAATAAAATGAAAACAATCTGCTGAACAAAGCATTTTATTTCTATTAGATCAAATGCCTCACTCAAACTGAAATGTTTATTTTGACCTTTTGCTGAGGTGAGAAAAGTGACTTTTTTTCTCCTTTTCTTATTGGCAAGGAATTGAAAAATCAATTAATTATAACTTTCCCTGCGGAGATGAATGCAGCAAAAGGGCATTTAGCAGAAGGCTGAAGTGCACTATACTCATAGCTAGAAACAAGAGAGTGATCATGGGAACTGAGCTTCATTCTGAGTTGTTTTTCCCCTCATATTCCCTGAAATAACAAGAGAACAGAGATGTAAATTTTATGTGGGAATTTTAAGCCAGTATGGGGTGATGTGGATATTTACACTTTCAAATACAAGTAAAATGACTGTTAAGCAATAGTCATACTGTACCCTGCATATGTTTGTTATCCAGGGGAGGTCCGCTCCAGCAAGATGGCCATGTATAATGAAGCGAGTTTTCCTGTGTGTTCGGAAATTTGAAGCTTTGATAGTTGAAGGATTTGTAGCAGAAATTTTCTGTGTTGAAAAAAACAACCAACAAACAACAAAACGAGGATGAGACTGCTCCATCCCAGTGTACATTTTGATACAGGGCAGAGTATCCCAGTGGTTAAGGCATAGTTCTGGACTCTGAAGATGGATCTTGTTCCTCACTTGTAAACTGTCTTGCTGGGGATATAAATTAATTGCTTCAACAAATGATTCACTTCCTTTAGTTAATTGAACTAATGATACTGGCATCCTTTACACAATGCTTTGATATACTGATGCAACATGTCATGCAAATACAAGATTTTATCAAACTTGGCCATAGAAATACAAAGATAGCATCTTCTGCAAGGTATCATGTGGTTGACTTTGAATTTGTACCCTTTTCTCTTTTTTCTTTGAAGATAAGACCTTCAACACTAAGCTTATTTATATTTTATGAGAAAGCCCACCAGGCTTACAACATCAGAGGCTGTAGGTGTTTTGGGGTTTATTGAGAAAGAGGGCATTATTCTTTGAAAGAAATTCTGAATACTAAGTTGTTTTAAAACTTGGCTCTTACTTTTTGTTACAGTTGAAGCTTAAAAGGGGATGTCATGTACCAATTAGCACACATCTCATCTTCGGTCAAAGACAGATTAAAGTTAAAACCTCACAGTGCCTCTCAGCTAGAGATGTTATACTTGTTCTGAGGTGACTCAAACAGGAGAAATCCTTAAACACCTCCACTGTTTGTGATTGCCATTTATATAGATATTAAAAAAGCTATGAAATCTTTTTCATGTAATGTAAGCCAACAACAGCAACAAATTTCTCCCCCCCCCGCCCCCCATTTGTTTCATTTTTCTTGCTCTTTGTCCAAGTAAAATTCACACTCTCTGGTGGTCATTTCTTTTCTCTCATCAGAATAGTCTATAGCTCCACAAAACTGCTTCATGCTATGGACAAGCCCAGCCCAGACACCTCCACCTTGAGCATCCTGCTGTGAGCTTTCCCCAGTACTTGCTGATCTTCAGGGGCAAGGGCTGACACACTGCTGGTGTCTTTCAGTACGTTCCCATTTGATCCATCCTAAACAGTCCTGCAGGCTCCTTTTAGCTACTTCCATTTGTCACTCTGTCACGGTCCAGAGCTTCCTCTCGCTGCCGCTAGTTTGCAGATGTAGATAACCTCACCTTTTCACTTTTTTGCTTCCATACAGCTCCAGCCTGCTGTCTCTATAGCTTCTCTACCTGATGTGTTTTCATGAGGGATAACCTGGTTCAACTCTCTGTAAGAGAAACCTCCAAGCTCTCTCTAAGGTATATCTTACCAAGTAATTTTATTTAGACTTAGTCTTCATTTTTCCTCAGTCCTATTCTTCAAATAAATGTTTAATATTTGTTGATTATCTTTAGCCATCACCATTTCATTCTCTTTTTGGTCGTTTCCTTCTTTTTCCACATATGGTTTCATTCTCTCCATTTTTTCTTTAGTGTCCTATTTTCCTTTCTAAGCTTTCCTTTAATTTTTTGTCCTATTTTCCTCCCCCTCTCTGGTGAACATGGATACTTTCTCTTCTGATCTTCACTCTTAACTATCTACCTGCTCTTAGAGTTCAGTGTTGGCCACCACATAAGCAGAGCCTCTGAGACCAACCGTAGGTAGTTCAGAGGACCTACAAACCGTCTGTATGAACCACATCTCTGAGTTGTGTGTATGGACCTGAAATGTGTTTTTAATCTGGAGACATACAGGAGACAAAATTGAGCTTTCCTTTTGTACTGCCTTCTCTACCTCTGGCTTCATAATGCTAAACCTGAAACTGAATTTGGACCACTAGCTTAGTGGAGAGAAGTATATAAAATATATCCAAAATATCTCCGATTACTTGCATTAGAAGGCTGCAATTAATATGTTGTAAATATATCTGGCTCATCAGAGAGCTGAAATGAGGAAAAAGAAATGAGATGGAAGAAAATTAGGATGGCCTGGTCATGGAGTGTGTAATATAGAATTCAGGCTTTTCCTGGGAGACTTATGAGTAAAAATAAGGGAGAAAAGAAACTGTATAATTTGTTGAATGTGTAGTATACTATAAGTTGTTAAAACAAAGCAGTTTCTTACTTGATATTTCCTGATGTTGTCTCTAGTGTAAAGGAGGAAGTTGGTGTTCACAGCTTCGGGAGAGCTGGGCAAGCCTGCCAGCTGTCTCCCTGGGATCCCAGACCAAGGGGGACTATCTGTAAAGCATCCAAGCCTTTTGTAGCAAACTTGCCTTCCTGGGGTACGCAAAGAAGAACGTTAGTGTTCTGGGGACGTAGCAGGTTAGGCTGCCACCACTCTACGAGAAGCTGGCAGGATTGTGTTTATACCAGGGAAGTGGAAAATGGCTGGTCAGATTAGGATGGCACCTGTGTTCATTTTTCATTAAGGGGCTCAGTTGTGCTACTGTGCCTCGTGCGTGTGGCAGGAACTTGAACTTCAAGACCAATTCCTGTTGTAAACATAGTGTAGAGCTCAGTTTTGTGGACTCATGACTTATTTTGTCAAACATGCTGTTCACACAGCCATCGGAAAAAGACAATAAAATCTTGATCCTTTATGGATCCAGAGAACAAGCCAGTATTTTCTGCCAGCCCAGAGAAGTCCTTCAAATTAGTCCTAATGCTCCAGGGATTATCTAAATTCTTATTTCTTGTACAACAATTCATGAAGGAACAAAACAAAACCAAAACATTAAAATAGATACCTCTGGTTGCTCCACAAAATACGTTAAACACCTCCTTTATTTTTTTATCACCATAACATTTTAGTGGAAGCAATAAAGTGGAATTTGAGTGGAAGCCTAGAGGAAAGCACAGACTCGGGAAGTGTGGTCTGTGCCTGAAGGACTAGAGTTTTCCAATTTCTATTGTGGCTTTAATACAGTAATGATGCAAATATGACGCATGGGTGTTGCCATTAAATGTCATCCTTACCCACTATTATAGCACAACAGTTGTGAAATCCCAAATAATTTTAATTGCTATTAAAAGATACTGAAAACAATGAGACGCTGTTGTAACCTAGGGTAGGTGGCAGATTCATACTACATCAGACTGTGACTTACTCTGTTCGTTACTCTGCACAAAACACATGGGTAGAGTGATATGTACTGGAAATATGTCTAGAGAAAGAGAAGATTTAATTGTGGAGCAGCAGCTAGAGACTCCACAAGCGATCCAGGCATTTTCACAGGGGTCTTTCCTCTGATGCCAGCAAACTGTTGGGCTGTGCCTTTTTGTTTCTCTCTGCTCTGTGTGTGTGTCCATCCCTGTTGAACTATTCTTTCTTGTAGGTAAAGAGGCGTTTTGGACTGGGACTATTTTCCTGTTCTCTGCATAGTGCTGTGAAGAATAAGTGCCTAGGCTGGCATGACAAGTATCGTCGTGTGGGTTGAGGATAGGTGGGGGAAACTGCTCTGGGAGAATTTTAGTATCAATTCATGTATAAAAATACTTTTCTAATCCCCATTCTGTTTCTAGCTGCAAAAAACTTTACAGAATTAAAAATTAATAAGTTAAATGTGGGAAAGGCATGACATAACTCAATGCTCCTAATGAAAAAATCTGTTAAATCCATTCCAAAGCACATCCTTTTTCTACAATATAGTTATTCTGCTATAAGCTGCACACAACAGTATTTACTTTTTATAGATTTTATCTCAACTATGTATCTTACCTCTGGCTGCATCAAGAAGAATAAGAGTAGTGATCCATACTGCAAACATCTAAAGCAAATAAGAACACAGTTCAAACCTAATTAAAAATAGAATGTGGAATTCACCTTAGGGTTTCCTTGACCCATTAAAAAAAAGGTTTTAGTGACCATAGGAATACTTCAGGCATTTAATGAGTTGGATCCAAAAGAATCAACACTTCTTTAAAGATAGCAAAGTTTCAAGAAAATACCTTTGGGATTCTTTCTGTTTGCCATGGAGATTTTGTATACACAGGACATCCTATCCTCTAAGCATCTCTTAAAGATTGTCTACCTGACCTTGACAGAAGATTTTTTTTTTTCTCTAGAGCTGCAATTTATGGGCAAGCAAATGACATTCTTAAAGGATTTGCAACATGTTTTTACAGAGTGAAGTTTCTTCTAGCATTTAGTAGAAAAGTTACTCACAGAACTTCTCTTCAGTGATTGTGCTTAAAAGAACCCAGGAACAAACTTAATTTGTGTTTCTAAATCATGTAGGTAGTCTTGAAAATTCATTTTGATCATTGCTATCATCCGTGTACACTTATCAGCTCTGATCTGCTTGATCACTTAATCACCATCTGATAGGCAAGCATCAGAGTAAATGGAACCAGCTAGTTACTTCAAGGTGAAGTAGGGAGAAGATAAGTTAGTTGTAGTTGTAGTCTCACTACTACTACTACAACTAACTTATCTTCAAAGGAAAGAAGATCATTCTTAGCAAACTCTAATGTCTGGTCCTGATCCTCCAAGGAGTTCTACACAGAGTCCTGCATCCCCTTCCTGCCCTCCCCACCCTTAGTCTCCCTCCAGTCCCCTGAAGTCAGTAATATGCTGTTAGGAGCAAAGAGATCATCCTTGTGAAACCCACTGCAGGTTCAAACATGTCCTGTTTCCAACTCTTCTCCTCTCTCCAGCCACTCACCAAATACGCCATACCTTATCACGATGCACCTAATTTAAGTTCCTTAGATGTTCTTGTCTCCAATGTATCGCATTTTACCTTGGCAAGGCTCAATGCAAGTTCTTTGGGTCCACCTCTCAGCTGATTGTGGCAAGCCTTGCAGAAGCCCTTTGAGGAGCCTGGAATGAAGCAGGACAGCACTGTGCCTGCCCAACCAGGGATGCTCACCCCGCCGCCACTGCGCTAGGCTTGGGTTCCCAGCTGCGCCTGTGACTTTGTTGGGTAGTGCCAAAAGAGATCTCTCTGTGTCAGGCATGCTTCATCCGAGATAACGTGAACCAGGTCAGACCAGTTGCTGCATGACTCCACCTGTTTAATGCAGTTTCAAATAGGGTGTTATTGTCATCCATCGGTAATTATTTTTAAAGCTAAAAAGTACTGGGAAGTGTGATGTAAACACTGAACAAACACACAGCCTTTCAGGATCAGGAACAAGGCTCTTGCCATCAGCTGGGCTGCTCATCTTGGTGTGATGCTGAGTCAGGATTCAAGTGACTTAACATCACATTGGGAAGGCTGTAGCAGAGCCGTGATCTTTTGGATCTTACTCAAGAGTTTTAATAGCAAAACCATCCGTCCTGTAGCTGATCCCTGCCTTAAATAACTTACCGTCTTAAGCAAAATTTTCAAATTTGTATTTGATAGTTAAGTCATAGATTCATTTACATTGGAAAAGACTTTTAAGATCATCGAGTCCAAAAAGTCTACCATTACAACGTGAAGACACAATCAAAGTGTTGTGGGATCAGCTAGCATGTATGTTGGCAAGATTTAAGCTGTTACCTGAGAAAAGGTAGAAAGAAGAGAGAAGGATGAAAAATGGTAAGAAAATTACATTGCTCAGTCTGTCATCTGTTATTTGCTCATCTTGTAGTTGTCTTGTCTGTAATTTTGCTAGTGGATGAATTACCTGACTTTTCTTTGAAAAGATGACAGAAATGCTTTTGAACAGAGGAGAATGAATATTTCCTTGGGCAGATTGCCACCACATCTGATCACCATGAATCTTCATAACGAAATTATATTAATTGCAGTAATTTTAGGTTTTGGCATTTTGATAATGATGCCTTTTCATGTAGTACTATGTTGTTGTCATACTGTTATGTTAATATTTCTGATCAGTCTTTCTTAGAAATCTTTGCCCCTCTATGTGTGTCTTTTCCATCCTAAATGATTCTATGTAGACACAAATGAGAAACTTGTCTCTCAACATTTTAATGTTAAACTCTTTATGTATATGGGGTGACTGTTGGCACCTCCTAAGCCAAGGGTGTACAGAAAGGGGAGACTCCCTTTTGATATAATCCTTTCCACTGGCTGATGACTTATCTCACATCTAACACATACAAATATGAATTGGGTTAAAGTGATTCTTAAGAGTGCTAGGTACAAAGACATTTCCAGGCTTTTCTTTTGCTTAACTAGCCTTGAAAGGTTAATTATTTCAGATACAGACTGTAGAAGCAAATGGATCCTCCATCTCTATGCTCCATAACTCTAGTAGAAAATTAAGAAGGAAGGTTCTTAAGAACCTTAAGATTCAGGACTAAGTTAGTCCAGTAAAATGTTGAATTATTCACATTGAAGTTCATTTGAATTATTTTCTGCTCACATAACCGAAGATTGTTGTTAGGGTGCCAGCTGAATAGTTAACTGGTCACCAATAGAATTCAGCAAACAAAAATCCTTACCAGGTGTTTGGAAGAAATGGTGAAAAGAAACACAAAAAAAGTCTGCTTCCAAGTTATCCTAGGTCATCCTGGCCAAAACTGGATTCAGTGATAGTTACAGGTGCTCAGAACTGTGCTGCTACAGTATATGGTATACTCAGATCTGGTGATCAGGTGCTCACGTCTGTGATATAGTATTATATTCAAAGGGAGTGGATACTTGGTTTTTTAATATCTCTGAGCATTTAGACATAAACTCAGAAAGTCTGATTCATTAGAATTTAAGAGCCGTACAGAAAACTAGTATTTAATTTACATTACCTGCTTCTGATTTAACTCTATTATACATATTATTGGACCAAAACCTCATTTCCTTCTATCCTCATAATTTCTTCCCACTTCAAAAGGAGAGTTTATTGCAGAAGCAAGTCACTTAAACTTTTACATTAACCTAGTTGATTCAATAAGTTATTCTTGTTAATTTGAATTCATAGATTTTACCTTATAGAGAGTATTTTGGTGCATACGCTCTCAAGAAATCAGAATTACCCATTACATTAAGAAGCATTTCTGGAACCTAGTATTGTAGTCCCAAACTATACCTCAACCCTCTGCTGCAACAGGGACTTCAACAACAGTCTGGTAGTGAAGATTTCGGAACACTTATAGGATTCGGTGACTTTGCCAACTTAAAACTAGAATGACAAGATATGTAAGGGCTTTTGATTTTACCTGTGATGACAGCATCATTGTCTCATGTCCTAGATATAAACGTGTACTATGCAGTTCTTATAAATCATTATTCCAGCCAGTATTGAGTGTCAGTTGGACCTCAACTTTTCTGGGCTTTTCTGGGAACACATGAAGTGATTATTTAGTGATATTCACCCTGCCTTTCAGCAGTCAGTGAGACACCACAGCTCTCCTCCAGTGTTTAGGACAAAGTTACTGGGAGAGCAAGACATCTTCATATTTGTTATGAATTAGTCAGAGGATTTACTCCAGCAGACAAGCATGAAATGGGTTTTCTATGCTGGTTTACTAATACCAGGAAAGCTTGTAGCTCAGCAGCATTGTTAGATGTCAGCACTTCTATGTCAGCTTCTAGAAAATTTCTCACTTTAATGGGGTTAACTACTTCAGCATTATTTGGGACCTGTGTAGGAAGTAGCAAGCCACAAAGTGCTGACTCTCCATTCCTTAAATGTTCTTGAGAATTTCTCTTCCATGAACTTGCCCAAGCTGCTTCTGAACTCATGCACACAGCGTCCTGGCCTGTATCAGCACTAGTGTGGCCAGCAGGAGTAGGGAAGTGATCGTGCCCCTGTACTCGGCACTGGTGAGGCCGCACCTTGAATCCTGTGTTCAGTTTTGGGCCCCTCACGACAAGAAGGATGCTGAGGTGCTGGAGCGTGTCCAGAGAAGGGCAACGAAGCTGGTGAGGGGGCTGGAGCACAAGTCTTATGAGGAGCGGCTGAGGGAACTGGGGTTGTTCAGTGTGGAGAAGAGGAGGCTGAGAGGAGACCTTATCGCTCTCTACAACTACCTGAAAGGGAGTTGTGGCGACGAGGGGGTTGGTCTCTTCTCCCAAGTAACTAGTGACAGGACAAGAGGAAATGGCCTCAAGTTGCACCAGGGGAGGTTTAGATTGGATATTAGGATAAATTTCTTTACTGAGAGGGTGGTCAGGCATTGGATCAGGCTGCCCAGGGAGGTGGTGGAGTCGCCATCTCTGGAAGTGTTCAAGAAACGTGTGGATGTGGCGCTTCAGGACATGGTTTAGGGGACACGGTGGCGCTGGACTAATGGTTGGACTTGATGATCTTGAAGGTCCTTTCCAACCTAGTGATTCTGTGATTCTGTGATTCTGTGATTCTAGCACACCCAGCATCCTGTATCAAACAGCTGCACATTGTAATGATGCAACTGTGAGGAGAATCATCTCCTTTCAGTTGTTTTGAGGTGTGCAGCTGCCAGCTTCACGTCATGCCCCCAGTTACTAGTGTGGAAGAAAATGAACAAGTCATTTTGTATTTGCCTCTCCATGATCCTCTTCATTCTATAAACCACGTTCACACCCCTAGCTCTTTTCCAGGCTGCCTTCCGTTTTTCCCTTTTATGCCAGTGGAGGTGGGAAAATAACTGTTTACTCCATTTGTCTGGGGTAGATGAACATTAGTTTTTTGCCCCCCATTACCAAAACCAGTAAGGAAAATTCCTTCTGTCCTGAAGTCTTGCCCATGAATGTGTGTTTTCTTGAGGGAAGAAGTGGCCAAACGTGGAAGAAGGTTCTTTCTGCAGCTCAAATGCAGCTCTGTGCAGTCTCTCCTAAAAGCTCCCTTTTATAGCAACATCTGTAGGAGAAGAACTTAGGTGACGAGGTACAGCACATATAATATGTTATGATAAAAAATAGGACTAATAGTCTTAATTCATTTAAGTTATTGTGTAGGGTGGTTTATGTTTCGTCTTGGTGTTTTGTTTTTTGGTGTTTTTTTTTCCTTTAATTGTAATTGCACTTACTTGTCATGCCTTAACCTTGAGACTGAACTTTCTGGGCTACTTCTGCACATTGTAGAACACATAATTCGCTTTTGGGTAGTGTATGAATAATTTTTATTATAAATGGTAAGAGTAATGTAAATGTCACCTTTTCCAGCACATCAGTTGTAAGACTCTCCCTAAGGAAGTAAAACTTTTGAATAAAAAACCTTAAGTACCATCAAATATTTTTCTATTCTTTACAGTCTGCTTGTCTGCTGAAATAGATACGAAGGGATTATTATTCTTTTTATCTGCTGTTACTTCATTATGATCCAGCTTCTAATGCTTTTATTGATGCAAACCCCTATGGGATCACTCATAGAATAAAACACTTCTTAGCTAAGGAGAGAGCACCAAATGTTAAGTTCCACTTGCTTTGTATTTTAATACCATCTAAACTAACAGCTGTCGCATGACTTATTGGTACCTCCTATGGAAACCCTCATTTTTTTCTTGTACTTCTTAAGGTGAGCCTAGAGATTTGACCTGTAATGCTGTTTTACCTGTGATGTTTTGTCCCAGTAATTAAAATAAAGTGAAGAAGTTGTTTAAGAGTGTTGGCTCCTATCTGCTTCCCTCAGCAATATGTATCTTTAAAGATTGTGGACTGCTTACCTCTCTGTTTACTGGCTTTCCAGCTCGGTTAACTATAACACTTACTGGCACTCCTGAGAAGATGGATGAGGAATGATTAAACTTCACAAGGAATACTACAGGAAATTTTCCCCTGAGCTTCATCTGGCCTTCTAATTTCTAAAT